CTAGAAGTCATAAAAAAAATTATTAGATTATTACGAGAATGTAGAGCTACGAACACTTGCGCACATTGCACGCCAACTCCCTGATTTTAAATATTAAAAATTTATAAGAACTTAGAAAAACACGAAGTAAAATTCTTAATTAGACTGCTAATGAAAGGTATATGGTACAATAACTTATTTAGACGTTTTCCTTAAAACGAACAAAGCATCACCTAATTTTCATAAATATTTCTACATGTTATGATTATGTTAGGATTTCAAAGTATACCGATCCTAAAGTTAGTCTTAAAAACTAATGAAGACGTTTTTATGAATAAGGTAATACGCCTATTATAAAGAATATAGAACATAACTATTATCACTGTGATCTAATAACAAGTAAGTTTTCTCGTGACCGATAGGTGCTATTTTTTGTACAGAAATCTACTTAAATGATCGTTTAATCTGTTTTGGTATCTAGGTGATTTTTAATTTTCGTAAGTTTAATTGAGTTTATTCATCTAAATCCACATATTTAATGGAATACACATGATTTTCAATACAGTTTGTTTTAAACATTTTTTGGTAATAAACTTTCTAATTGAAACATGTTAAGGTGTATCGCATCGTTTTTATTTAAGGTTTGATACTGCAGCGAACCAGAGAAGTACGTCAACACTACAGTACTATTACGTATTACACAAAAATGTAGGCCTGTCCTCCCTCTACATTATTATATTATTTCCATGGTTCAGCTACATACCACACAGGCTGTAATAAGTTTACAATATAAAAAAACACAAGGATTAGTTACACAATCGAGCTTTTGACCACCTTGAAGTTCAAAACAAGTGAAAAAGTACTTTATCTATATTTACTTTCAAATCAAGCAGAAGGCCGAAATGGTCAACTTGAATTTAAATACGGAGCCCTTGAAGGGCCTTCAAAAATAACTATATAGTATAGGGAGATGTTATGTGTGAGTGTACGCGCGCGTGCGTGCGTGTGTGAGACTATGCACATTTTCATACGTACAGACTATATCACAAAAATGGTAAGATTCTATTTTTAAATTAAAAGTTATAATGTTGGTTTGTTTTTTCAGATATATTTATTTATTGTTTAGATGGTAATTAAAATTAGATTAAGATAAAGCTACAAGCTGCAGACCACAACTCTTGGATTTGAAACCAGACGTATGAAAAATAAAATGCATGGACACCATTGACATCTTTTTACCAAATTAAAATGTTGTGACTGTAATTAATAGTTAAAAATTCTGAAACATATAAAACCATTGAGCAAGATAAAAGAAAAAAAAGATCAATCCCATACTAAAACAATAAAATATGAGAAAAATTATCTCAAAAACAGACAGTGTCCCGAGTACTTTTTCTGTCTCCTCTGGTAATGGAACATATTACCATTATAATAGTGTCGCATTAGTGACTGTTATCTTACCACAGATTAGAAAGCACCACTTACTATTTATGAGTTATCAGAAATGTTTTATTTTAAATGTATTCATATTTTTTCCTTATAAATAAACATAAACATTGAAGTCTAGCATTACATGTTAAATATAAAAAGAGCTATTACTTACCAAATGTGTTATTTTGGACAAACTTAATAATGGAGTAAGATCTCCAAGTAGCGACATACCGCTAACAGCTTTTAGTCTTAATTCGTTGCAATAATTTAAATTTCTAGCGAATTGAAGATCAAAAGTATCACATTCAATCGACATAGCACTCAGTACGAGCAATTGTGGACATTTTTTCATGATCTCTTCAACAATAACAGCAGGACATCTGCATAATTCCAGCTTCATAAGACTAGTAACATTTGGAATTGCAGTAACAAATTTCTTCCATGTTGCATCTGCCTCATCTACGATAAGCATCTTTCTTAAATCTAAATGCTCCGTACCACGGTTCTTAAGAGTGGTTGCAGAGCCCTCCCAATCTGTCACTTGGCTATTTTTCATCCTAACAGTTTTCCATAGTAATGGATGAGCAGCAAGATCTCTCCACATACGACAAACCCTGGCAGCACGCAGTAATTCTTTAACAGTTAAATACTGAAATATACGTGAAAGTGCATGATATCCAGCACATACGGTAACCATGAGGTTTTGCCTGTGATCAAATTCTGGTATAGTTTGTCTTTTCCTGCGAAAAAAATTACACATAACTTATGTTATGGCTTACATTTTTAATGGAATGAAATGATAAAAATGTATATTATGTTTATTACTTTTTACGTCTATTCCCCTAGTTCAATGCTTTCAAGAAAACTATTTCAGTTTGAAGTTTTTCAAAATTGACTCAGTAAATACAATTTTTCCACATAGGTAGATTTATTCACCAGTTCTTTATAGATATACATAGTATAGTACAAAATAAAAGACTAAACTATAAGAGAATAGATCGAAAGAAACTAAGAATTGAATGTAATGAAGAGTTTATGGGTGCTTTAAAGAACAGGGCAAAACAATTTAGATATTTTAAAAAAACAAAAACAAACGCTGTGGACGTTATTTTTATTTTCTAGAAACGTAACACCCTTATAACAAAACAACTCTACCTACAGGTGTGAGTAAAACTGTATCTATTTATTAATAATGTAACAAATGCTACAATATTTGTTTAAACGGTAATAATAAAAGTATTTTTTAAGTTTCCAAAATTTTTAGTAAGGTGACAAACAAAAGAAAAAGTATATCTTACGAACAAGCAAAAAAAAATATTAATTTTTTATACACATTCTCGCAAGAAATAAAAGTTTTAATATCTTTGTGATGACATCCACAAATAAGCCAGAGAAAATGCATTGAAACTGTAAAAATAAATGGTTTCCGTAAAAACATTCAGACAAAGTAAATGATGACGAAGATACATACTTAAGTCCTAGAACAGCTACCTTGAGATTACCAGTAATTCTAGTACTTTAGAAGTAACAATAAGTTAACTATAAAATTAACCTTGAAATAAACGAATGCTAAATTGTGAAAAAATGAGATCAAAAATACTACATAATTTTGAAGGATCAATAAAATAAATTTAAATTCTGAAGTACAAAACTGCTGATTAGTAACTTGAATTCAGACAACGTTAAAAATTAAAAATTAACTAAGAGGACAATTAAAAGTGAGTCTTTTGAAGGAACAAAACAATTCTTATCGAAAGGAATATTGAGTCCAGTAAATAGGACAAGAATTTTAATGATATAAGTACCTATAATAAAATAGGATATCAATAATTTAAGGATTCAGCAATTGCTATGAGTACAATTCAACATTAGTTCCGAATTTATGACATTTGTAAAAAGCACGTACTACAATGATGTTACAAAAATTTTGGCATGGTTTATAGTTTTATAAAATATTTTAGCCAAAAGAAATAAGAACACATGTCAGGATTATTTATAGGAGGTTACGTTCATAGTAAAGGAAATAATACATTTTTATAACTTATGAATTACATTTTTTGAATAAGAAAAAAATCATTAAAATTATTCAAATAACCTATACTGAAAGAAAATTACGTAGAAAAAAAAACTTTTAAGAAATTATTTTTTTAATGTATACATTAAAACTGTGAGTAATGGTTAAACTGTGTTGAATATGCCATTGGTAGAGAGCACGGCCTGCCGAAGCAGAAGATACTATAAAAATTCATCCTCCCACTCTTACGGTGTCTTGTGCATTTGACAGGCGCTATTATGTACTATGTAATTTTATTAACATAGATTTCTTGGTTCGAAATTAAGTCGAAACAATTAAATTACAATAAAGCAGGCAGTCCAAGCGAACACTTTATGTTTGATAAAACTCAACTGTTTTAATCATTATATTGAATATGTTATCATTAACAGAGTAACTATATATTTTTCATAGAAAAACGCAGAAAAAAACTCACAGAAAAAGATTTAATATTTGTTGATAGTAAATTACATCATAATACAGTTTGAAATCCCACGGTTAAATTGTATTAAACAATTAAGAAGTACCATATTTATAAGTTAACGATAAAAAAGTACTATGTATACAAACAATTTTTTTAAAATGGACTTCTTAGTTCAAAAGTAAGTCGGAACAATTAAATTACAATAAAGCAGACAGTCGTTTTTTGTAAGTACAAATGTAAATAGATGAATAATTAAGTCAAATAAAAAAAAGATGTAGTTAAAATATACACGGATAAAAAAGAAAAAACAGTTATTGTTAATAATCTTCCTTTCATGCTTTTTTTTGACTAATGAACTATGATATGATTATCAAAATAAATTTCTTCGTGCACTGTAACTGTAAATTGTACATAGAATTAAATATCCGTACATCCTAGTAATTAATATCTACAATTCTAATCTTCAGCTCTGCAGCAGCTAAATTAGTTAAACTTGAAACATAAATAATAAATAAGAAAAATGAATCACCTTGTTTTAACACTTTGTTGAAGCGAAAACATTAATGAACGAGAATGACCTCATTACTGATTTTTAGAAGTGAAACTAAGAAATTGTTTAAATTGTTAATTTATTCTCATTGTAACCTAAATAATTATCGTCATTCTCCTTTTTCATTTAGATATTTTGAATATTGAGTTTACTGTTTAAAATGTTATTTCAAACATTCAAATTAATAAAAGCCTGCAAATAATATCTCCTTTAGTTATTTTAAACCATAATTTAAACCTCAAGTCCTACTGTAGCTAAGTAACTGAAACTCAAGATAAATTATCATCCTTAATATAACAAAATAAGCCATCAAATTTAAGTACTCTTATTCAGAAGTTGAGATGCAAAGCATAGATAAATACCACTGACAAGATTAGTTTTGTCTTTCTCTTTGTTCATTTACGTCTTAGCTTCTTCGGAGTGCTCAAATTAGGTGATTCATATTTCTTTATCAATTATAGTGTTTATTTTTGAAGTTTTACTTATTCAGCTGCAGCAGACCTGGAGATTAAGATTATAGATATTGACAACTATACAGGGGCATTTATAAGCACTGAAACAGTAGTAACTGAAGTGTACAGCAACATATCCCGAAGCCAAATCAGTCAGGCATTAATTTTTTCCCTAATTTGTTTTTAAATAAGTCCCGTTACAAGATTATTCGATTTTAGTATACTTGGAACGATTTCTTAGTAGCGCAGACTGCTACAGAGTGTGGTTTGATGTACATAAACAACTGCATAGCAAGGAGCTACTTATTAATAATTATTACAGCAGTAATATTCTTGAAAATGGCAGCCACTGATACTTACTACCATCACAAACGAAACACATCGTTTAATCACCACTTTAATACTCATTTTCTGTTAAACAATGACCAATTATTAATAATTGACACGCTACAAAAAAGTAAATATTTCAAGATTCTGCAATCCAAGCGACTAGAGATTTACATCATCACTAACTTATAAGACAATATGATACCACTTAAATTAATTATTTTCTAGTATGATTAGAGTCACAGATAACAGGAACTGTATTTAGTATCAAGCTACACCAGTACGTTGCCAAAAATTTACTTAAATTTAAGTGGGGTCTAAATAAAAAAAAAACAACACTACAAAACCATCACATCACGAGTACTAAGTTGGCTTCTCATTGATAGAAACTTGAAAGATACTTACCGTTCACTTGGTAGGAACTTGCCAGGTACTCGACAGACGACTGGCGGACAATGAGCAGCACTGTGTGGGTACTTGACTGGTATTAGGCGGAGCCTTGTCGAGTACTTAGTGGGTACTTGGTGGGCTCTTAAAGGGTATTTGAAGGGCAGTGACGGGTACTTGGCGAGCCCTTTTCTAGTACGTGGCTGACACTTGACGGGCTACTTTGTAAGGTTTTGGCAGATACTTAGTAAGGCTTTGGCATGCACTTGACGGATACTTGGCAACAACTTATCAAATACTTGGCTGGCACGTGGTCAGATACTGTTTGGCATTTGGTAAGTACTTGATAGGCACTCAGCGGGTACTTTGTGGTTACTTGTAGGCACTCGGCAGGGACTTGACGCGTACTTTGCCGGCATTAGTTAGGTACTTATTGGGCACTTGTCCGGTTCTTAACAGACTTTTATCAGGTACTTGGGGGAAACTTGACTGGTACTAGTCAAGTACTTGGCAAGTCCTTGGTGAGTGCTTTGTGCAGCCTAGGCAGGTACTTGACTGGCACTTTGCAGATACTTCATGGTTACTTGATAGGGGATTAAGTGGGGCGTCTCGTGGGCAGTTCTCGGATACTGGACGGATACTTAACGATTGCTTGATCAGTAGTTGTGTACCTGTTGGGAATTTGGAAGGCTCTTGATGGGTATTTGACAAGCACTTGACGTATACTTGGATAATACTTATCAAGTACTATGCTAGTACTTGACGGGTACTTGGAAAATACGTGATAGATGCTTGGTAGCGCTAGAACTGTCCTACTGTACTGCTTACCGATAAAAAGCTCCTTGCTATGCAATTGTTTGTTCACACCAAACAACACTCTGTGACAGCCTGCGCTTCTTAAAAATCTTTACATACAGGCCAAAACCGAATCATTTTGTAACTGGTCTCATTTAGAAACAAATTTTTTAAAAATTAATAAACGGATTTAGATTGAGGATACGTTGCTGTCTAAGCTAGTAACTGCTATTTAAATACTCATAAATGCTCCTGTAGAAATTTTTAGTTTTATGTATAATTTACTTTACTTAGACCAACATTTCATGGTTTGTGTAGTCGAAAAAAGTATCAAAAAAAAAAAAAAAAAAAAAAAAAAAAAAAAAAAAAAAATTACGCAATCAGGATCAAGTTTTAGCTATGTCACTAGAAGTCATAAAAAAAATTATTAGATTATTCCGAGAATCTGAAGTGTATTAGTTCATTTTAAATAACTGCTTTTACAATTTCATCCACTCACATTTCAATTATATTCATATTCAACTTAATTGACTTATCCATAAACTTACATTCATGTAAAAAAACCTCTGTTGTATTGTTTTTAATTATTTTGACTTATTTTCGAACCTGAAAAAAAACCTAATTAAAAAAATTACAAAAACTTTTAAGAAATTATTTTTTTAATGTATACATTAAAACTGTGAGTAATGGTTAAACTGTGTTGAATATGCCATTGGTAGAGAGCACGGCCTGCCGAAGCAGAAGATACTATA